AAATTAAATTAATAAGTTTATTTTTAAAATGTAAGGAGTAGAAGTAAAAAGTTGTCTAAAACATATTTTTTTTCATGAAATTTTAAGGATGCATGAACAAAAATTAGCTAGCTGATAATGTTCCTATTTTTCTATCCTTCTTCAAAGATTTTGTTATTTTGGTATTAAACACATTTTAAACTTAAGTGTTGAAACTGAACTAAAATGATTTTACTTTTCTTGAAGAACAGACGGAATAAACTGGGTGCTTCTTTAATAAAGTTCCTCTACTGTAACTCACATAGGTAGAAAAATCAGATGAAATTGATTAATCTATGCATTTATTTTAATGAACAGACTGAACACTATTTAAGTAACAAATGAAACAAAGTCAGCTTTGATTCCAGCAGCAACTAGTCATATCTGACGTTGAACTCCTCTCCACACCAACATATAACCAAATTACAGTCTAATTTAATCATAGTTGGCAAGATTTTCTATTTGGCCGTAAACCTCCCTCTACTCAACAAGCCGCACACAGATATTCTTCACATATAGGATATAATATCTTTTCGAAAAAAGTAAAAAAAAACAATCCACTGAACTTTGTTTCCAAGTTTGAAGACGTTTCTCTTCCCATCCAGGAAGATTTTTTCAATTCAAAGGGCCGGATCTATCAAAGGTTTGCGTGTATAAAAATGTGAGCTATTTCACTGCGCACGCTAAAAAATGTACAAACTGATCTATCAACAGCGTGCTAAAAGGATTTGGTCTTTAAAACGTCCTAAATAGCGCCTCTTATCCATTTAGTACTTTTTCTGCAATGAATATGCAATATGGGGCGTTTACACGCAAAAGTGCGTCTTGTGGGAGGAGAACATGTAAATATATTAATTTAGCACTCGCAAAGTGATTTATTAAACCTGAAAGCAATTTTGCTAACAGTATCTGACTCTATATTTAACACGTTTCAAAAGAAGGTGCAAATGGTCTGTATGCGTAATTGCGCACACATGGCGGCGGTTATTGTCGCAAGAAGGAGACATGGAAATGAAGCAAGGAGACGCAGAGAACGCATTTTTTCACTCCGTGTGAATATTTTTGGAATGAAGGAGGAAACAATCATCAAAACATATCGTTTATCCAGCATTGCCATTTTGGAGCTGTTGGAGGAACTCCGAATGGATTTGGAGCCAGCCACAAGGAGGACCCACGCAATACCAGATATCACCAAACTCCTTGCAACGTTGCACTTTTTTGCATCTGGGTCATTCCAGCGTACGGTTGCAGCGAGAGCTGGGATCTCCCAATCTCGTTTTTCAGAAGTGCTGTCCGACGTTCTGAATGCCATGTCGCCCTGACGCCCTACCGGAGAACCCCGACCTCTGCACCTGTGGAGCAACATGCCAATTCTGCGGGGATGCGTACGCGCAGTCATCTCATCCACAGTCACTTCTTGTGAGCCATTTGGTATGTGCATTTTTCTACAGGCCAATACAAAACGCTTGTTTTTTTGTTTTTTTACTGCAGTGAAGTAGAAATTCAGCCACATGCCACCTTAGGGAATAAAGGTTGCCAAAGTTTTTTAGATATATTTATTTTATTTTTTTTGGAGGGGGTGGGGGTGTCACTGTAAGATTTAAATTTCTTAATGCACTAGTTTGTACAAACTACAAACTACTTTGCCGCAAACCACAAAACGCACAAAACCATCATTTAAATAGGGCGTCTCCAACAGTTTTGCACCTTCCACCAGTTACGCAATCTATCTTGTTAAATCACCCGCAAACCATGGTTCAGCCCCTCGCGCAAAATTCCAGTTTGCGAGCGCAAATTACTGCACGCAAAATTGGATCCTGATAAATCCGGCCCAAAATGTCAGAAATAGCATTGAATTCCAGGCTTTATAAAGTTGACCAAAAACACTTTATTTTGGTTTAGAAAACATGCACATGCAAATTGAACCGGATGAGCAGGTCAGCTCCTTTGGAATGGGGGACGTCTTTTATTAGCCTGTAATCCTCAATACCTGTCTATGTCTCTCAAAGGGGGGCTTTTCGATGGAATAGTTGGTCTGGCTAAAACAGGCGATGCGTTTTGGTCAAAATAAAGCAAAACAAAGTGGTTTTGGTCCACTCTATAAAACCTGGAACTCAACGCTATTTCTGAAATTTTGAATTAAAAAAGCTTCCTGGATGGAACAGAAACGTCTTCAAACTTGAAAACAAAGTCCACTGGATTGATTTTTAAATTTTTTGGAATAACTACACTGAAAAAACAATCTAGAAATAAGTAAAAATTTCTTAAATTAAGTGTATTTACCCTTAATTTGACTACGTAAATTAGATGATCTGCCAATGGAATGAGTGTTTTTACTCTTTAAATAAGATAATTAGACAAAATGCACTTGAAATAAGACAACGCAGTTTTGTTTTCTTAATTTAAATGTAAATTGTCTTGTTCCATTGGCAGAATGTCTCCTTTACCTCCTCAATCCAAGAACAAATACACTTATTTTAAGAAAAAATGACTTACCTAGATTTCGATTTTTTCCAGTGTATGACCTGAATGACTGAGAATCTTCACCAGCTTTAAACATCTATATTTATCCACATACCAGTCAAACTTCACCATGACACCTTTTCTATCGTTACGGTAACCATAAACGGCCTCTTATAAAGGCTCTTGTTGGTTTATTTCCATCAAACTCCTGCAGCTATGAGGTCTTGTTAAATAACATTTTAGAGAAAACTTTAAGCTGTAAAATACCGACGTAGAGAAGAATTTTCTAGATGCTGCTAGACATTTGGTCTAAAGGTTTGGTGTCAGACAGTCTCTTTCTGTTGTGAGAAGGAACAATAGAAATTTGAGTCTAGATGCCATCAGAGCTAACTGCATCCATCTAAAAATAGTATGCAAATGATCTTCTGCGGCTCCATTTATCTTCGCTGGAAAGTATGTTATTGAAATAAGCAGCCAAAAGTAGGTGAGCCACTCTACTGAAGCATTAACGCCAAGCTTTATGAGCTTCTATAACGATGATTAACCCTGTAATGCCAAACGTATCGTATTTGATACATACAGTTTCTGAAATGTTTTGCGTCTGACACCTTTTGCATAATTTAATGGTAAAAACTTTGCTCAAAATCCTATTGTACACAATCAGATATACCTGATAACAGCCAGTAGAAGACTACACAAAAAATTATTTTGACTTATCGCATAGTAATAAATTATTGTTATCAAAAATTTATTTCTGTTTTTTCTTTTTACATATTTTGTTAAAAGGGTAAATAAGGAATTCAAACCAAAAAAAAAGTTATTTTTTGTTTTATTTTATTCTTGGATCGGGCTTTAAAGGCTTAAAATCAAACACGATTGCTTCATCTGCTGTAGAATAACCACAAAACAGGCTGAAATTGGTGGAAACCAGATTTTCCGTCGGTTTTCCAGAAAGTGAGGAGAGACTTTGGCAGTTCAATCTGAAAAACTCACACGGAAAGAAATAGAATAATTTTATTAATACTTTAGTTTTTGGCACTCAGACCTCGGCAGTAAAACTTTAGCGCTGAATTTGTTTGAAATGCATGAACAGGATGAAAGAACAGGGGTGTTTCCTCCCCGAGCCTGAAACTGGAGTCGGAGTGGAGACAGATGAAGTAGATCAGTCCATAGACTGATCTACTACTTATGTATGGAGTAGAGGTGTGTGGATCGATACTGTCGATACCAACGCTGGTATTGATATTCGTTTAACAAGATCTATCTTTTTTATTCTCACCCGCACGCACTAACTGCAACAGATTCACCAGTCTGTGTTGCAGCTCTTTGCTGCTCCCCCCTCCCCTCTCTGCAGGCTCAGCCTCTCAGAGAGAGAGAGACTATAGGAGCAGAAAATACCATAAATGAAAACAACTGCAAGCTGTATGGTTTCTAAAAAGCCGGTTAAATGCAATTTAAAAAGCACATGAAAAAGCAAGAAAGCGTCGAGCTACGGAAACGAAGAGAGGAGACGAAACTTTCCTCATTGGCCTGAGAGACCCTGAGTCAGACGTGATTGACAGAAGCATTTCAGACTCTGGAGAACATCCAGGTTGATAAGAGTGATCACCATCAGCAGCACCTTATATTAAAGGTATAATGGAGGATTTTCATGAGTTTTTTAAAAGACCCGACCACTTGAAAAATAATGCACACGCATAACCATGTATCTGTTGCCGAGGGAACGCCTAGTAAACACAAGCAAGGGCGTGCACGAGTCAATTTCTCCTCGTGCACGCTCTGTTTAAATGTTGCCGTTTGCATCGTGCATACAAGCTTGCTTTGCAAAAGATTTGCAATTTTCCACTATGTCAAACTCAGCTGTATTATTACTATTTATTTTGATGATCCAAAAAGAACATTCGGCACTATACCTTTAACTTTGAAAGTAGATATCAAATGTCATATGTTACTGGAGCCCACACAGAAAGTGGAATAAAGATCTAGAAAGAACCCAGTTCCTTTATCCCAATAGAACGTGTTATCTAAGTATTCTAAAATGAGCTAATCCTTTATTTATCCCACAATGTTAGAATTTATAGAATAAAAGCAACAGGTAAGTGCACTTTATTAGCATTAAATTGTTAATACTGTTATTATTCAATTGTAATAATAAAATAAAATAAAGGTCAACAGCTCCATGATACATCAAGCTTAAATGTTAAAACGTATCGGTTATCGTATCTCATTTATTTACTCAAATTAAGGGTAAATACACTTAATTTAAGAAATGTTTAAGAAATGACTTATTTCTAGAAGATTTTGCAGTGTTACTAGAATCTAGTAGATCTGGGGGCCAACAGTTTTTCGATTGCCAAAGCAAGAAGTAATTATTTAAAAGACATTAAGATTTTCTTCTATTCTAAAAGGAAAGCAATATTTCAGACTTCTCCAGATTTAAAAATGTACCTCCAGCTTGTGCATCAAATCTCTAAACCGAAGAGAGAGAAAAAACTCAAATGTCAGGTAATTCTCCTCACCTGCCGAGGGTTTTGCTCCTCCAGTCAGTGAAGTAGCATTTCTTTCTAAAATAAACAGACAAATGTGTTTAAAGTTAGACAAAGTTATCAGTTACTGTAAACACTTAAAGGTCTGTAAAGTTACCTGAAAGGCATGCGGATGTTCATCTGCTCTGCATATTTGCAAAGCGTATCCCAGGTAGCATGGACCTTCACGAACATGATGTCGTTGTTCGTCAAAGAGGGCTTTGATTTAAAAAACAACAACAAGCAAACAAAAAAAAAAGGTTTAGAACAGAAAGAGGTAAAAGTTAAAAAAGGAAAGGCTGGAAATGCTCACCTCCTTCTCCAACATGAGACCCTCGGCTCGTAAATTCTTCTCAAATGTGCACCTTTTCTCCACCTGTGGGCTGGACTTCTTGTAAACCAAGATGTAATCGATTCTCTTTTTTCCATCTCGGAAAAACAGTCCAGAAGAGTCTGATTGTTTTTTCCCCTGCAGAATTAATGCATCACATAACTGTCACTTTTTCCATAAATGCTTGTAGAGGATTGGATGAAAGAATACCTGCAGCTGGAAGTACCTGAACAGAATCTGCACGCGTCCCTAACTTCGCCCGGCTGACCGGCTTCTGTAGAAGAAATGTTGGATCTTCTTTGGGTTCATCTGCGCTCGTTTCAGTCTCCTCCATATAGCCGTCTTTGACATCCTCTGCTGCACAGAAACAAAACACAATCAATGGGACTCATTATATCAAACTAATGAGAAAAGCACTTAAAGCCTCCTTTCTGCTTTAAGCATTTGTTTGTTGTTCATCTCAGTACTTTCGTTAATCTGTCCACAAACATTGAAATTAGATCTCAAGGAGAGAAAACATGCTGTTTAAATGTGGTGTCAGCTAAGCAGCATCTCCTTTATCCAATTTTCAATTATATATATTTTTTTCAGTTTTATTCCACCCTTATTTTGCACTTTACTCAGATTCTTTGTTTAGAGTGTGATAAGAAAGTGGGCTTTCGCAGGCCTACATTGATCTATATCAGAGGTCTTCAACAGGGGGTCCTCGACCCCTGGGGGTCCCCGGAGGTACTGCATGTGGGTCATGAAAGTTATGTTTGATTAGACTTTTTTATATTTCCACTTATTGAAATGTCTTTAATCCACATTAACATGAATCCAACAGACTGCAGTAAACAGATAAATGGAGGCAGAAGATGTCTTTCAGTCATCAATGCTCACATTCAGCGACACACAGGAGCTCTTTCAAGCGGGGCACCGTTTCATTCACAACACCTGTCCCATCAACCTGGAATCAGAATCAGTTTAGAAAGAATCACTTTAATAATTAAAGGGCAGAATTACTTTTGTTACATAGGACCAGTTTGATATAACACACTTTCATACAATATATTTCCATCTCGCCATCAGTTTGGGGGACCTTGGCCTGGAAAACCTTGAAGACCCCTGATCTATATGGTATAAAAATTTAACAATAAATCCAAGAATAGTTCTTTTAAGAAATAGGTCAAACTCTATATCTGGTAATGAGTTAAAAAAAACAATCCACTAGACTTTGTTTCCAAGTTTGAAGACGTTTCTCTTCCATCCAGGAAGATTTTTCAATTCAAAATGTCAGAAATAGCGTTTAGTTCCAGGTTTTATCCAGCAGCCCAACAAGGCCTGGTTTTAGTTTAGAAAACATGCAAATAGAAACGGATGAACGGGTCCCCCCCCTTTGGAATGGGGGTCGTTTGGCTTCTTTGTTAGCCTGCAATGCCCCATACCTGTCTATGTCTCTGAAAGGGTGGTTATTAAATGAAATGTTGGCCTGGCTGAACAGGTCTTATGTTCCCTTTCCAGGAAAAAAAACCCCAAAAAACCAGGCTTTGTTGGGCTGCTGGATAAAACCTGGAACTAAACGCTATTTCTGACATTTTGAATTGAAAAAGCTTCCTGGATGGAAGAGAAACGTCTTCAAACTTGGAAACAAAGCCCAGGGGATTGATTTTTTATTTTTTTGGAATGACAATGACCTGGATGACTGAGAATCTTCCCCAACATCTTGTTTGAGAAAAAAAATCGACATAGTTAGATTTCAGGTAATCTCCATTAAATCTGCAGCTCTCCTTTCACCTGCTGGGACATTTGCTGTAGAGAAACCAAATACGTTATCATTTGGTGACAGAGTCACATGAGGAAGATATAAAACAGTACGGGCGTGTAAATCCACCGATAATGAGTTTAAATTGCTTCTATTTATAAATATATATATACCAGTATATAAAATTTCACATTCTGAATGCAAGTAAACAAAACACTAATGGAGCAAAAACTAAGGAAAGGGAAAGCTTTGTGGTCCTCCATTTGCCATGAATCCTACTCTTTTTTCGCACATGTAATCGAGCTATATATTAACTCAGGAAAGAAAGGTACTTTGTTCTTTCTCTCTCCAATGTTTTTAAACATTGTTTTTTTTCTCTCTCTCTTGCATGTTTTATATAAAGATACCAATTCAATCATTGCATGTCAAATCAGATCGATCAGTTCGGACAGCAGAGATGGGAAGTACTCAAGTAGATTTTTCTGATATTTTTACTTTACTTTACTACTTATTTTTATGGCGACTTTTTACTTCTACTCCTTACATTTTTACACAAATATCTGTACTTTCTACTCCTTACATTTTAAAAAATTGGCTCGTTACTTTAGTTTTGAATCATTTCAATGGAGTTACCGTTATTATTTTTCATGTCATCAATACCAAATTCAATCTAATTGGATGGGAATCTACGTTGCATTTGACGCACCACTACAAGATGAATCGACAGATTCGGCGGTATTCATTGGCGGCAAATCATTGCAGCTTGGTGGCGGTGGCGTTAGCATAGTAGCATGGACGACGAGATGATTGAAAATGAACACAACGGAGATCTAGGCCTATTGGCAGACATCCATTTAAAATGTAGGCAACGGCATGAAAAAAGTGGTTTCTACTTTTACTTTTATACTTTAAGTAAATTTACAAGCCTGTACTTTGTTACTTTTACTTGAGTAAAGAAGTTTAATCAGTACTTCCACTTTTACCAGAGTATTTTTTAACACAAGTATCTGTACTTTTACTCAAGTACGGAAAGTGAGTACTTTTGCCATCTCTGTCGGACAGTAATGGTGGGCAAAAATTATTGGTTAGGAAATAATAAATTTCCCTTTTTATGACTGAAAATAAACTTCAGAGATGTTTATTTTGAGTTCTTTTTAGGTGAAAATATAGCTTTATTAAAGGTATAGAGTAGAAAAAACGTCTTTATTTTCCCACATTGGGTTAATTCTGGTTTAGTGGAGGATATTTATTTTCCGGGTGGATCATCTAAATGATTGGTCTTTCTAATTGTCAGTCATTCTGGTGAAATGTTTACGTAAGGCCATCATACGTGCTCGTCCCCGTTTTCACTTACCGGTGGCGAGTCTGACATAGTGAAAAAACTGCAAATCTTCTTTTAGAAAGTAAGCTTGCATGAGTGACGCAAACCGCACCTTTTAACCAGAGCGTGCATGAGGAGACATGGGCCTGTGCACGCTCTCGCATGGGTTTAATAGGCGTTCCCTCTTGGGAGCGGGTACAGGGTTGTGAATATGCTATTTGTTTTCAAAGTGGAGAGAAGTTTTTTCAAAAATTTAAGCTGCTCATTCAGTGTGGAAACTTTATCCACACTGAATGAGCAGCTTAGCAGTGAAATGAACATTTCCATTTATAAAGGGCAGCAATGATCAAAACGTACACAGTGTAGGAGAGACATGGTGCAAAAGGCATTGATGTGGAAGGTTCAAAGCGGGACAAAAATAAATAAATAAATGTGGTGCAAAATGCAGTAGAAAGTTGAGTTGAGTTCTATTTAAAGGAATTTGAAAAGTTGCCATGTAGTGTAAATATGATGCAGAGTCTCAGTTTGTGACAGACAACGGAAAACCAACAACGTTTCCCTGGCAACGGACATTTTTCCTAATACCTAGGAACAAACGTTTTCCAAAGAACTGACTTTTTTCTGAGAGCTGGAAACGTTTCAGAATCAGAATCCCTATATTAATCTCTTGTGGGAAATTCTTTTTTTGCAACCATTTACAGACTTGCTATCAGTGTATCAACCCTCCAGACCACTCAGGTCTTCTGGCTCCAGCCTGCTCTGCAGACTTAGAACCAGAACTAAACATGGAGAAGCAGCATTTAGTTCCTATGCTCCACTTATCTTGAACAAACTTCCAGAAAACTGTAAAAGTGCGGAAAGCCTGAGTTCCTTTAAATCAAGACTAAAAACACATTTGTTTAGGATTGCCTTCCACTGTTATAGTTAAACAGTTCAACTGAAACATCATTAGTTCAACTTTTTTATTTTCTTAAGTCCTTTTTGTTCCTGCATTTTTTATTTTTTTATTTTATTTATTTATTTATTTTTTCCTACTCGCTTTGATTCTGTTTTATTTTCCTATATTTTAGTCATGTAAAGCACTTTGCATTGTCTTTGTACTGAATTAAGCTATACAAAAAAATTTGCCTTGCCTTGCCTTGCCTTGCCTTACAGTAGACGGTATTTCCTAATACCTGAGAACTGACAACATTTCTTAATACAGGGTTTGGGTTAGAGTTTAAATTTGGGCTTTTTTTTACCTGGTCTTTATTTCAAATGTTAAAAATAAATCAATAATTGTCAATATCGACTGCTAAGAAAAAGCGTTGATTGTGATAAATCCTTCTTCAGGAATATTGCAAAGTCATAAATGCAAGTTAAAATGTTTTCTACACGGTTCGGTAAAATTCCCCCTGCATCTCATCTTATGTCCTCTTAGTCCAGGAGGTTTTTCCGTCATTGGGGCACAGCGAGCATCACTGAGTGAAAAAAGTCTGCATATGCATGTTAGAATGTTTATATTCTTATTCTGCTTAAAATAAGCTATTTTGTGTTGGTCACATTAAATTCCCAATGAAATACTTTCCAGTTTGAGGCTGGAACAAAAAGAAACATAAATAAATATATATAATAAGGGGTATTTATGTTTTCTGTTCTTTAATCAGAAACATGGCTCACAGGAAACTGTGCCATAAACTGGACGAGTATAAAAGCACAGGTCAATTTTATTTAATAAAATGTAAGTTTATTAAAGCTACTGAAGTAAACTCTGAATGGTTTGACAAGATAGACACTAAGAACTGAAACATACAGCTGCAATAAATGTTATTAATTGCAATCTCCAAAGAAGCAAGCCCTGCAGACCAAAGCTGAACAGTCGATTAAAGTGACTTCAACAAGAAAGAAACAAAACTATTCGATTAGAAAGGGAGACGTTGCACTGTGTTACTGCTGTGCTTAGATCTCAGGAGGTCATATATATTTCATCTGAATCCCAGCAGACTGTCAGCTTGTAAGAAAAAGCATAAAAGTCTCCTTTATCTTCTCCCCTCTTATGTCCACAAGCAAACTGCTTCTTAAAGCTGACAGAGCAAAGGAAGGACCTGCAGCCCCAGAAGATAACTGTCCAAGTTTCCCATAATGCAACACTGAATCTAGCAAAGAAAAAACATGTTCAATATTTTCTTTTATGGGTTATTTAAATGCTAAAGAATCTGTCAGTACGAGAGAGTAACTGTTTGAACATGGGAAATGGAGGATGTCAAAGAGCAGCAGAGATTATCTCTCATTTCATGTTTAACAGCCTTTTAA